CGGCAGTTCGCTAGATTTGTTTCATAGACATATACCACTTCAAAACCAGGTGTGAAAGGTAGAGCACGTTAGCCAATTTGACAGAAATATATTCTAAACAGACACTTAGCTAGCAGACCATTAAAGCAGTGGAACCCCGAGGAAGTTGGGATTTCCCCAGGAATCTCATGAAAAGCCTGGGCCAGGTACCACAGAAACTCTTCTCTGCAGGAGAGATTATAAATTCAGAGACAATAATGGGCCAATGGTGTGCTGTACCATACCTTGATCAAGACTGGACCTACACTCTCACTTCAGGATCCAAGGATAGATTTATGGGGTCACCAGATCTCTTTGGCCTTTTTCACAATGTGGTGGCTACACTGAATAAATCCCCCTTTTCTACTTTTTAAATTTAAATATATTTGTAACTTGTAATATATATCAGCTAGAGAACATTCAAACACAATTCTACATAAAGGGGGGCGAGACTATCTGATGTGAAATTAAAGTCTAATCATACCTGAGAGATTTAAAAATTATAAGTGAGGGAGTGGTGGTACACGTCTTCTCTGTGAGTTTGAGGCCAGCCTGAACTACACACATAGTTCCAAGACAGACAGGACTGTTTCACAGAGAAAGCCTGTCTTGAAAAGCCAAAAAAAAAAAAAAAAAGGGGGGGTGTCTAGAAATTGTAGTATATTTACTGAAGGTAGATAGCCTGAAACAAACACATTTATAAAGACATCAATCATTTACTGAGTCACCTTGTATCAGGTGTACCAGGTGTTGTGGCAATACTGTATATTAGGAATACAAAAGAGAACAAAATTTCCAGCGAATATGTAAATAAAATTGTTAAAAAAGAAAAAAAATCAAAGATGTAGATGTAATAGTAGTGGCAGACAATTTTAATCCCAGCACTTGAGAGGCAGAGGCAGGAGGGTCTGAGCTCGAAGTCAGCCTGGTCTAGCAAGACACAGGACAACCAGGGATACACAGAAAGACTCCAACACACACACACGTTCTTATACTCACAGGTGAGCACTAGGGGAATGTTAAACACACAGAGTTGTCTCTTTAAAGGAAGAGATGTATAACTTGTTTACCACCCAGAAGGCTGGGGTCAGAAGTGGTTAATGGCTTGTCTGTGTGGCCAAGACCACACTGGATCCTCCCACAGATCCTTATTCTGAGCTTGCAGATCTATAGAACCTCTTTAAGGAAGATATTATATGTACTTTACAAAGAGTTTCAATGTTGTCTTAAAGCTTTTTTTTTTTTTTCCTTTCTTTTTTGAGACAGGGTTTCTCTGTAGCTTTGGAGCCTGTCCTGGAACTAGCTCTTGTAGAGCAGGCGGGCCTCAAACTCACAGAGATCTGTCTGCCTCTACCTCCCGAGTGCTGGGATTAAAGGCGGATTGGTAATAGTGTCCTGACCTTTGTATTCCCTTGGCAACCAGAGGAAAAAGAAAAAGAAAAACAAAAAAACAACAACCAAAAAACCCCAGCATCTCAGGGGTAAAATAGGAAGTTTTTACTTGTTGATGTATTTTTTTGCAGGGCTGGGATGAAACCTAGAGCTTTGGGGATGATAGGCATATGCATGCTTTTCCTTTGAGTTATTATATTCTTGTCTTTAAATAATTTCAAATAAGGTTTTTCTACATTATAGGAGAAAATAGTTAAAAATCCAGAAAAAAAATCGAAATGATAAAATGTTTGTAATTCTAGTAATGAGGCTCAGTTCTGCAATCTCAATTACTCAGTATACTGAGGCAGGAGGATTGGAAACCCCAAGAAGGGAAGAAATCACAGTTCTATGTCTGACCTCACTACACTGTCTGGATGTTGGCAAAGCCTTGGTTTTCACTACCTTGGGAAATCCTGAGAATGGAATTATTGAATCATTAGATGAAAACAAATCTAGAAGTTTAAAAAAATATTTTATAATTTATTTAGGTTTTTCAAGACAGGATTTCTTTGTGTAGCCTTGGCTGTCCTGGAACTCACTCTGCAGACTAGGCTGACCTCGAACTCACAAAGAGATTCACCTGCCTTTGCTGGCATGTATCACCACTAAAGGCGTGTGTCACCTGTCCAGCTTAAAGTAAAAATATTTAACTTAATACCAGAAATGATTCTTGAGCTAAAGAAACACTTGGTTTAACCTATTCTGAGTTGTATAATATATTATAAACACATTTCATTTTGAAGTATGATTTGTACTCGTTACCAAAGAACTTCTTTAAGGCAGACCCAGGCCTTTTCATTTGTCTCATAATTTGCAAATAATAAAATTTTTCATTGAGCAGAGGGCTAAGATTTTGATAACAAAAGACTGCTCAGTGCTCACAGAAAACCAAGGTTGGGGGGGAAGGAAGCAAAGGCTTGCATTCTAAAGAGTTAAAAAATTTGATTTATTTGGTCGAAGAAATAAAAGATAAATCTATAATGCAAAGGTAACTTTGGGGATGAACAGATGATCCAGTGGTTAAGAGTACTGACTGCTCTTCTAGAGGACCTGGGGTCTGAATCATGGCACCAAGATGGCAGCTAACAACCCTCTACAACTTCAGTTCGAAGGCATCTAACACCGTCTTCTGGCCTCTGAGGACACTGGGCATATCACAGTACACAAACATGTATGCAGACAAAACTCCCATATGCATCAAATAATCTCTTTTTTAATTGAAAGGTAACTCTGTTTTGAACGGCTCTAGCAATCCCATAATGTATGCAGTAACATAGTCCAGGTAATTAATTCAGTGGCCTCATCTTCTCTCACTGACAGACTAACAGCTTCGAAGATAATCTCTCTCGCTCTATCAAGACTCAGTAGGCAGATTCATTATTTATACCCTCAATTGTTTACTGTCCTATTTTCCCATCCATCCAGGCCCAAGGGCAGTGTTATCATTGGCCCGTTTCCAAAATGAATATGGTAGCTCACTGTCTCACTAGCTACAAAACCAGAGTTATTCAAACACAGTGTGATCTAATAGCACAGAGCAAACTCATCCACCACCCGACCCCAAACACAAATTCCTTGCTTAAGTGAAATCTATCACTATGGTTGGCTGTTTACTTGATTAATTTATTAATTACATGTTTCTTTATAGTCTCCTTACATAGCCCAGGCCAGGCTCAAACTTAGAATCCTATCTTAGCCTGCTGATTGCTAGGATTACAGGCAGGCAGACTAGACTGGCTATGCGTAGGCACTGAATAACACACATACACACACTCAACAAGCTTCTTTTAAAATTAACTTTTATGTGCATTGGTGTTTCTGCATTTATTCAAATCTAGGTTGGATGACCTAGAACTGGAGTTACAGACAGCTGTGAGCTGCCATGAGGATGTTGGGAATTGAACCCAGGCTCTCTGGAAGAGCAGTCAGGGCTCTTAACCACCCTTTTTCTGTGAATCAGCAAAAATTCTTAAAAGGCAACATCATTAGAAAGGCAGCTCTGATCCTCATCAAGAACCGACCTGTTGCCAGGTGGTGGTGGCGCACTTCTTTAATCCCTGCTTTTGGGGGGGCAGGTGGAGAAAAGGTGGATCTCTGTGAGTCTGAGGCCAGCCTGGTCCACTGGCACCAGACACATCTCCATAAGAATGCTTTCTGTCTCTATCTAAGCCGCACTCTAAAGCAGCATCCTCAGGTATTTTTTTACCTGTAAGATTTTCTTACATTGAGTAAGTTTTTCCCAGTTCCAAACTTTATCACTTCCAAGCAGATTACTATGGGAATTAAACAAAGCCACGGGTCCAATGCTTCCTTCCTTCACCTTCTCAAGGGATCACTTTATACTTCACACATTAAACTAAAGTCTCCCCTTAAAGAGAACATAAGGCCTTTTTTTTTTTTTTAACAATCTAAGCTGCAAGTCACAGAGATAAACAGAATGGATATAAACACATCGCTAAAGAAAATTCAGTGAGTTACTTCAACTTCAGCAGCACTGCCTCTTCAAGCAGTAAACAAGTCAAAGCTTTGCATAATTGTTTCCTTGAAGATAAATCTGAGTTTCCAAGCCATTTCAATGATACCTGAAGACAAGTGCAGATACACCATTAGTAGTTCTATACATAGCCTCTTGCCTCCAGGGAAAAATTCTTTGGGGAACCCCAACTAATTTGCACCACGCAAATTACTGACTGCACAACCAGACAAGAAAACAGGCTTGCTAGATCTGGAGTATAACTCAGGTGGCAGAGTTCTGCACCTACATGTACTACAAAATTAATATAGTAAGAAAAGACTATAATCCCAGCCCTTGGTAGTCTAAAGCAGAAGGATCAGAGTTCGAGGCCAGAGGAGAGGAAATGGCTCACTGGGTAAATTCCTTGCTGTACAAGCATAAAGACATGAATCTGGGAGCCAGGCATGACGCACACCTTTGACCCCAACACTTATGAGGCAGAGTTCCAGGCCAGCCTGGTCTACATAAAAAGCAAGTTCCAAGACAGAATCACACAGAGACCCTGTCTCAAAAAACAAATAAAGCGAAAGAAAGAAAGAAAGAAAGAAAGAAAGAAAGAAAGAAAGAAAGAAAGAAAGCTAAAGTCAAGCAACAACGAGATCCTGAATTTGGGTTCCCAACATCCACATAAAAGCCAGGTGCAGCAGAGAATGGCTATAACTCAGAGCCAGGCGGCAGAAACAGGCAGATCTAGGAGGATGGGTGGGAGCTTGCTCTGCCCAAATCAGCAAGGTTCAGGTCTAGTAAGAATACCTAACTCAAAAAATAAGGTAAAGGAGCTGTAAGCTCAATGGCTAACAACATTGGTTGCTCTCCCTGGGTTCAATTTCATGCACCCACACAGCAACTAACAACTACTTGTCTATTAACACTAGTTTCAGGGTACCTCATGCTCTCCTCTGGGCTTCAGGAACACTAGGCACTCACATGGTTCACATAATATATATTCAGACAGAACATCTATACACATAAGATAAAAATTTTAAAATCTTTGGGGGGGGGGGAAAGGTAGCCAGTAGGTAGTGGCACATACCTTTAATCCTAGCACTTGGGAGGAAGAGACAGGCGGATTTCTGAGTTCGAGATCAGCCTGGTCTACACAGTGAGTTCCAAGACAGACAGGACAGGCTCCAAAGGTACAGAGAAACCCTGTCTTGAAAAACCAAAGGGAAAAAAAAAAAGATAAAGAAGCCATTTGAAGAAAACATTTTTTAAAATATTTATTTATTATGTATACAATACTCTGTTTGTGTGTATGCCTGCAGGCCAGAAGAGGGCACCAGACCCATAACAGATGGTTGTGAGCCACCATGTGGTTGCTGGGAATTGAACTCAGGACCCTTGGAAGAGTAGGCAATGCTCTCAACCTCCGAGCCATCTCTACAGCCCCTGAAGAAAACATTTTGATGTCAACCTCTGGACTCTACATGAGGCACCTGGACCAGAAAACCTGTACATGCACGTGCACACAGACACATACACCCTAAGGCCACACTGAGCTACACGTAAGACCTGTATATGCATGTGCACACAGACACATACACCCTAAGGCCACATTGAGCTACACGTAAGACCTGTACCTGCACGTGCACACAGACACATACACCCTAAGGCCACACTGAGCTGCACAGTGAGACCCTATCTCAAAACTAAAACAAAAAGCAGGGAGCAAAGTATAACATAACTTTATAAAAAGCCTTTTAAATTGTTTACACCTGAGAAAAGAAAAGAGGGCAAACAAACCAAAGCACCACAGTGGCCTTCTCACTACTTCCCCACCCTGCTAGAGAGCAAAGCAAACTTCACAGGGATTATGGATCACATCTATAATCCCAGAACTGGGAAGGCAAAGGCAGATGCCCTCTTGAGTTTGATGACAGCCTGGTCAATGTACTGAATCCCAAGCCAGCCAGAACCATATAATGAGACCTGGACTCAAACAAGAAAAATAAATAGCCGGGCGGTAGTGGTGTACACCTTTAATCCCAGCACTCAGGAGGCAGAGGCCAGCCTGGCGAACTCCATCCAGAGTGAGTTCCAAGACAGGGAAGACGCTTACACAGAGAAACCCTGTCTTGAAGATAGATAGACAGACAGACAGACAGACAAGATAGATAGATAGACAGACAGACAGACAGACAGACAGACAGACAGACAGATAGAAATTTATTCTAAACACTAGATGCCCATGATTTTGACATTGCATTTTCAGTAACCAGTTAGGTAAGACAACATTTGGAGGACCCTCTTCCCTTCCCAATGTAAACATAATTCAGACTTTAGGGAATAAAAGCATAATACATGAAAAATTGCAGAGCTAACACAGGACTATTGTGACTTTCCTTTTTGTAGATAATTCTATACTAAGAATACTCGAAATGTTTCGTATATAAAATATGTGTTTGTATATGCATGTGTATACATATATGTGGAGACAGAAAGTTCATTTCCTGGTCTGTGTTTCCATAACTGAGATGACTTCCTGTCCCATCATTTCCATTTTTCTTGTTTTAGGTCAAGGTTTCATGTAGCCCAGGTTGGCCTTGAAGTTCTAACCTTTGTTTTTCCACCATTTCCCTAAAGCATCCTGGATGCTAAGCAAGCACTCTACCAACTAAGCTACATCCCAAGCCTCTTATTTTTCATCCCAATTGTTCCTAATTGGCTAGAGATAAAATAAATCATGAAGAAAAATTACTCATCCAGCTAAAACTATGATACAGCTGTGGAACATCAATTATATCTTCAAAACTGATCTCCAGATACAACAATCATTGGAAATTAAACCTAGATTATTAAAGTAAATGAATCATTTTTATTAATATTTATAACAAAATGTTGTCAAGAAATTAGTATTCATCTCTTCTCAAAGAGCTCTTTGCTAATCAACATTAAAATAACACTGGTCCCAAACACCTTTAATTGAAAATGCACAATTAAACTGGGTGGTGATGGCACACACTTTTAATCCCAGCATTTAGGAGACAGAGTCAGGTGGATCTCCGAGTTGGAGGCCAGCCAGGGCTACTCAGGAAAAAAAAAAAAAAAAAAAAAAAAGAAAA